TTTAATCATTATCACACATACGAACATATATATATTTAGTTGAACTATTGTTATATATTCACTAATTTCGTGGTCCCCTTGACCAATTAATATATTACAATTAATTAAGGTTTTTAGTTGAGATGAAAAAAAGTCAATGGCACGAGCGGGATTCGAACCCACGATCTTCGGCTTGATACGCCGCTGCTCTACCACTTGACCACCAACTTCCCATCTCAACCGCACCCCTTGAATTTTCCCTCCTTTTTGCCATTTTTCAAAACCTTAATTAATTGTAATATATTAATTGGTCAAGCGGACCACGAAATTAGTGAATATAATTTTGACATTTCATATAAATCGGCGTTATAGAGGAAGCCACCCATTGGCAGCCGTTGTGGATTAATCATTCATTAGGTCTCTTATCCATATTCATTCCAGTCGTCGAAGGTGTAATTCTGTATTTGTATGTTAGTGCAATTTTGCACTTTACCATGAAAACGTTTGTAATGGGTTATGACAAACAGTTAACATGTGCAGATCTCTGTGAGGCTTTGAAAAACATTTGACCTAAAATTATTATTTTCGGAATACAACAGATGATAATAATTTCCAAGGCTTCTCGGTTATAAAAGATAATCACAGTATAAATAAACATATAGAATAATACTTTTATCATTTAATTGACCCGAATTTTTAGTATTTCTTAGAATCTTTTTAAAAGAAAAACAAATTTTCCAGTCCGATGTTATATTTTACACTGGGCAATAAAAGACGAAGATCTTTAATTAATTAAAAATTACGCTTTTTATAGAATTTACTTTTTTACGTTTCGGGATTATTTGTCCGGAACGAGCGGCCGTAAAATAAAACGTTTCTTTCATTTAGTGAAAACCTGCCTTTTTCGTTTTACGACCCTCGCATCAACCGCCGGTCTCCTATTGAATATTTTCACTGAGGGAAAACTAGCGACCAAAAGAGGGCTATTTTCAAATGAGAAAATACAAACTAGAGGTGGAAAGTTCATATTTGTAAATATTTAAACAGCAATTCTATTAAAAGTTCGTTCTAAAAAAAAACATTAAAATCAAACAGAAGCACCTTGTATTTTGTTCCCTTTGATCACATCATTGTGATGTTTCGTGTTTTGAAGAAATACAAATTGTTGACCCACCTCCCCTGCGCTTTTGAACTTTGCTCCATTGCTTAATTAATTACAACAAGCCGAGTTTTTCTTTTTAGAAAACGAAGATGATTAAAATATTGTAAAATCCTTTTTCATCCTTCTCTCTATTGTTTGTTGTTTCCAAGAAAAAGGTACAAATGTGAAAAATATCTGATCCAATTAATCCAAATCTAGGAACAGGTTTGGTTTGAACTTAATTATCTAAACAGAGTATTGTTATTGTTATATTAAAATTCCTTTAGGAATAATACAGTTTATTATTTAGCTTTCATACATTTTCCAGGTTTAATTATTTTCTTTTTTAATTGAATTACTTATTTTTCCCCTATAGTTGAAGCAGACAAATAACAAAGTAATAACCATCATAAACAAATTCAATGTAACTTTTATTAAAATATTTAGGTTTATTAAAATTAATTAACTAGATTTGATCATTTATTATTTGTTTCCTGACTCGATTTAACACTTCTGAACCATTTTGAACAATTTTATGGCATATATTTAATTATTAATCATATTTTTAACATATAATTCCTTAAAAGCATAACATATTGCTTGATTATTATTAATTAATGTATTGTATATTTTTTCTCGTTTTTCATATATTGTTGTATATCAGATTTCTTCAAGGATACTTTCATATTCAAGATAACAAAAAAATGGAGCGGATTAAGATTATTCAATTATGCGCCAAAAAAAACTAAAACTAAAGGAAAACGAGAATTAATATCAGATAAATTAATTTTGCGCTCTTATTTTAAATTATATTCTTATAAATCTTCTTAAATTATATATTATATTATATTATAAAAACAATTTTAATGCCTGCGTGCTTTTGAATTTATCTGTTTCTTGTATTTGATATACAATAGAGAAAATTCACAAGTAATTTTATTATTCTCAATTAATCAAACGATATATTACTAGATTAATTCGGTGATTCTTTGTTAACAAAAAAATTGTAATATTTGCAAGAAAATTTTCATAGATTTATTTTTACTAGAAATGACTTTAAATTTTTTTTCGTGTGAGGCTGAGGTAAAAATAGCAAATCTAGATTGTTAAAACGTCAAAAACCTATTTAATTTTTATATTAAACTAATATAATCACTCGATTTTCCCATTTGGAAGAAAGAATTCATTAAAACTTTCGTTAGGTGAATTTAAAAATTGGTGGTTAGGCCAGAGAAAAATTAAATTAATAATATTGAACGTACCTACATCGAAAAGAAAATGTACACATTCTACATTGAAACAGGTAAAAATATCCAATAAAAATGGTTGTATGTTCTGAAAAAAAGTTTAGCCAATACGATTTCAATATAAAATTTAATATGTCCCAACAGACGATTAATTGATTTCACTTAGAAAGCTTTCTGGGATTTGGGGAACTTTAAATAATAATAAATTCATTTTCCAACTTTAAAAATTAGTAAATAGGTTAGAAAATAGAAGGATATCATAAATAACATTAATAAATACCTAAAAAGAATTAAATACCTCGTTTCTTTCAATTAATAAAATGATTTTTACAACTGAAGATAGCGTAAGATGGAAACTGATAATATAAAGGCACCATTTTCATCAAAACACATTGAAAACGTTACAAAATTTACATTTAACTAATTTATATTGAACACCGCAAAATATAAAACTTCTCTTATTTAAAGTATAAATTTATGTTAAAGCAACTTAAACAAGTATTTGGGATAGAGGTGATTATTGGTAGATAAAACGCACTTTTAATAAAAAGGGAATGGGTTAGACACAATGTTAAGGCAAGAACACTTTATACTTTGTATGATTTTCATCTAAAAAATTCAAAATTTTTCAATAAAAAAGTACCATTACGTTTTCAAATATAGGTGCGCTAAGAGGAAAAAAAGAAAAGACATCAATATTAAAGTGTAACTAATAAATTTTCCATTTAGCCGATACAAAATTTCCAAAAACACTAAATAAATCATTAAAAAAATAAACAAATTAATTTATCATTGACATTTTCCAGGATGAAAAAATCGTTTTTCTAATATATAAAATGCAGGTTGGATAGATAATGTAACGGGGCGAAAAGTAGATTTTGTTGCGATTTACATTTTATTGAAAAAAAAAATGTAGAACGGATTAGTTCTGATTTTTCCTAACAGAAAACTTATTCTTATAATAATTTATACAAAATATCATTTTTGTACGTTTGTCTCTTTGTACTTACTTGATCATAAGTACTTTGGAAATTTTTCAAACTATTAGTCTGGTTAGAAAATACCAGTACCATATATTTTTGCTCGTTGATAATTATTTAAATATGGAAAATATTCCACAATCGAATACAAGAGAATGATGGTTTATAAACTATAAACAAGCCGATGAAGAACATGAAAGCGCTAATAAATAAAAAATTGAACTTAACTTGAAAATATTAGACTTTAACTCCGTTTTTTACTTTTCTACTAAAAATACAAAAATGAAAAGTCATAAAAATTTGACCAAATTCTTATCAACTCGTCTGGATTGTTTTATACTGAATTATTAAATTTTTTTTTAATAAATTTAAATTAGTCCGATTTTGAGTACTACCGTGAACAAATGGTTGTCATGCGGTCAGTAGAAGGGTGTCATCTGACACCTTTGCTTCTGTATAATGCAATTTATGTCATTTTGCCTCGTAAAATATTTCAAATTTTCTTGCACCTGAGGACAAGCAATAAACAAATCTTAAACCCGTCAAATATAAAGGTAATATTTCAAAAAAAATTAGTCCTATTTTGTAAAATATTTGGTCAACAGTACAGGATATTGGCTTATCTTGGCTATCCGAAAAGAAAAAATTATCAATATATTTTTGTTAGTTCATACAAACTATATATTAATTTCACTTTATTATGAGATTTATTAATGATTATTATGTTTCATACTTTTTGTATGAAGACGTTTTTTTGTTTCTTTTGGTCTTTTTGCGTCTTAAAAATTGTAACTCTTGCAACTGAAGATACTAAAAAATCTAAAAACCCTAAAACCCAATAATAATTTTCGTGATAAATTAATTATTAATATTAATTGATCATACATGAAAATCATTGGATAATAATTACTTTCGGTTATGCGTTACTAGAAGTATGTCAGCTGAACTTTTGGCTTATTCGAGATCAAATCTATGTACTTTTGTCCTGTAAAATTTTGTGAATTTCTTGTGAATGAGTGCAAGCAATTAAAATCCTAAAACCCGATGGATAAAAGTGAAAAAAGTTTATTAAATATCCTTTGATATTCCGAAGTCAGATTAGGCAGATTTGGTCTTATCTTCTGTTATTCTCCTATTCTATGAAATATAAACTTTCAATTTTGCTAAAAAATGAAATATTTTAATAATTGTAATATTTATTATTTTTACTGTTAGAAGGATATCAACGATCAACGTTCTTTTACAATCCTTTTCGTTATTTTGTCTCATAAAAATTCCAAACATTCTAGCAACTGAAGAAAAGAACAAAACTCCTAAAAACCCTAAAACCCGAAAGACGTGAATGTAATATTATAAAATAGATAAAAGTTTAAATATTAAGCTCTACATCTGTTGATAAAAAATCACTTATTTAGCTTTTTGAGCTAATTATTATATATCGAGTTGAATATAATATTTAAGAAAAAATATAATATTTTGACATTCAAAAATCATGTTAGTCATATTTTGTAATGCATCGGCCAAAAGTAGTTGATTTTTCCTAATCTTCGTATTTTTCTCGTATTATAAAATACTATTTCAAGATTTTAAAAAAATCTAATGAATTAAATATATTCATTTCTCATGCTGTTTGTATTAGGTTGCCAACAATACCTTTTTCTTTTGTGAAATCCTCTTTTTGTCTCGATCCAAAAATCGGACGGTTTTTATGTTCCCAGGATGAGATGCAGTGTAAAAATACAAATTTCACATTTTCAAACGGGTCACAGCACAAAGGTAAATCACTTGTCACGATCCGTGAGCGGCGTCCGAATGACGACGATCGAGTCGGCGAAGATCGAAGAACGAAGAACGAAGTCGATTGAGCGAAAGCACGGGCGAGACTGAGCGGCCGGCTGGATCCTGCACGAACGTGATCCCCCACCAGGAAAGCGGCGCCCCTTCACCGTAATTTTCTATCCGCCGTCTCGCTCCTACCAGGGGAAAAACAACAAATTCCATCCTTTTTTACAATTCGTTTTTTTTCTTTTAAGATGTATTCGGTCTAATTTATGAACGCCACTTTTGGGCCCCCTTTGTTCACGGTGTACAGTTACCAGCTCGTACGTGGTCGCCCCACGGCGAAGAATTTCCTCATGTCTTGGATAATGTTGTCCAGGATGTTCAAACTGTTCAAAAAAACATTCTTCCTCTTATCAAAACACGTGCAAGGTAAGAAAGCGGACTTAGATGGACAATTAGAGGTTCCGGTTCGAACCAATCCGGACGGGAAGATTAGATTATACCCAGAGTGCTTGAAAATCAGAATTACAAAGTCATTCGTAAACAAAAGCCCTGGCTTACAAGTGCACTTCATACATTTCTAAATGTCATGGCACAATATTATTTTTTAATAGCTTCTCAATTATGAGATTCTGTATTTTTGTACTGTAAAAGGAATGCTACATAATAAAATGTTGAAATTTTAAGGGCCGACAAACAGCTGAGGACATCGCCTATTTTTCAACCTGCAGCATTTGTAATGTCTCGATCTGTTACCGATTCTCAGCTTATATATGAAAACTAAATCAATATCGTTAAATGCCCTCCTCTTGTTTAGGTCAACTACAGAATAGATAAAAACATAAAATACATACACATAAACACCCTATACAAACAGTCTGGCCACAATTAACTCCCCAAGAGTACTCCTTATTCCTCAGCCCGAGGTCCAACCCACTCAATTCTTGCTAATAACTTACTTTTCCCTCCAGACCTTACACACTCACCCCAGAGAACTCGATATTCCTCGGGTCGAGGTTAAGCAACGCCTTCCTTTCACGCTAATAAATTACATTCATTCCAATCAATTAAAGTAAACAAAGCATTCGATACAAACACTGATCACATTCACTTACCCCAGAGTACTCGATATTCCTCAGGGCGGGGTGGTACCCACTCTATTCTCGCTAATAAATACTCACCCAAGAGTACTCGATATTCTTCGAGCGGGGTTAAACAACCCTTTCTTTTACAATTACATTCATTCAAATAAATTAATATAAACACAACAAAAACGAAACACAAACACTATATACAAAATATATTTATATATATTTTATATACAGTGTATGTATATATATATACATATATATATATATACACGTACACTTATTTATACATATATATATAAAAGCTCTATAGCCGATCAGTGCCCGCTGCCCTGCTCCAAGATTGCGCATATTGAAAATGTTTCAAAATGACAGTTTTTGTCTGCAATTTCCTGATTGCCGGAATTCAAAAAAATTTGATATAATTTACGGAGACGAACAATTTTTTTCATTGTTCACAACAATTTTCTATTCTTATATTAATAATTCTATTCTAATACTACTTATAATATACTATCTTGGGACATATGTACTTCCCACCTTAAATCAAATTTTCATCCCGACATTCCAAAGCCTAAAAACACCTCATAACAACATATATTAAAATCTTTCAATTAATTAATCTTTTATGTAACGTATTGATTGAAATGAAAAATTTAGTGTCACGAGCGGGATTCGAACCAACGACTTTCGGCTCAATACGCCGCTGCTCTAGCCCACGACCATCGAAGTCAAGTTAGCTCAAGTGGTAGAGCAGCGGCGTATTGAGCTGAAAGTCGTTGGTTCGAATCCAGCTCGTGACACTAACTTTTTCATTTCAACCAACACCTTACATAAAAAGATTAATTAATTGAAAGACGTTATTTGGTCAATCGGACCACGAAATACAATGGATATAGTAAAATGTTTAAAAATATTTTTATTGTGTGGTGATTAGTGACCGTTAATCGATATTTATTTAGAAATCGTGAGATGCGGTCTGGTGTGATGTAGGTTGACACGATAAAGAAAATGTTTTTCTGAAACCTACATCACACCAGACCGCATCTCACGATTTCTAAATAAATATTTTCATTAATGAAAAACGAGGTCTTATAAAAAAAGAGATCCACAGTGACTAACTAATGCATTTAAATGCATTTAATAATAAAGATCAGGTTGATTTATATTCAAATTTTAAAATAATTTTTGATGAGATTAACATGTGATAAATTATCTTATCATATATCATTTTTTTACGTGGGTTTATGATTTTTTAGAATTTAGAACCAAAATCTATCTCTTAAAAATATATTCTTTAAAACTATTAATTAAAATCTGGTGTTCCACCAGGAGGACTTTAATCACCCCTTTTTATTTAATTTATTTATTAATTATGTTATATATTAGTCGAAGAAATTAGATATCCTTACTCTTAAAGTGGTCCAGTCCGTAAGAAACTTTGGCATTCTTTTCGAATAATTCGATTTTTTTATGTAATGCTTTTATAATAAAAAAAATTTTGGTTTTACCAAAAAGGCAGGTACATAAATAATATATCAAAACCACAAAGTGCTCTATTATACAAATTCTGTGTGTTTGTATTGCATGTATAATGATTCGTCAAGTAAATAAAAAATAGAAAAAACATATTTTTCAAGAGAATTTCATATTACTTTCATACTGTTAGCAAGGATGTTAATGTTTCTTGATTACATGCCTTAATAACCTAGACATATTTTTTTTTTTGGTCTAGTAGATATTTATTTTGAAAGGAAAAGTGCAGTAAAATCTCTGTCATACAAACAAATCCTATAATTTAAAATATTTTCAGAATAACAACTTTTATTAGATTGAGTGATTTCCTTTTGAGATATTTTGTGGGTGAAGAACTCGTGGTTTTTATGGCCTTTTACGTTCAATTTGGTTTTTAATTCTCGCCTTCATCAATATTTTGTCATATTGAAAATATTTCCTTTAGTTTCATTATGAAGAAAAAAAATGTAGAAAGACGTAACGTTGTTTAAAAAGGCAAAATATTTCTGACAACCTGTAGTGTTTTGTTAGTCGCACATGTGTACATGAAAGTTTGTGTACCATCTACATATTGTCGTACCGCCCATATTTAACATATTCAGCTGTGCTTTCTGGGGAAAAAAGGCAGCTCGCTTGTCATTTAAATTAAATGTAAACCCAATTACAGGCTCTTTCTCCGCAACAGTGAAACGAGCCCATTTAAATAAAGCCGAACGCAACGAAACCCAATTTAAATTCACTCTTTGCCTGACGTTTAAGAATTTCCCGTCCTCCCCATCGGCCTGCGATTTCATCACGTGAATGGAATCTATCTCAGGAACATTGGAGCTGTTAGAAAGTTGAATCGGTTCAAAATAAGGAGCAAACCGAGGGCATGTGTGGAAGGGCTAATATCCAAAAATATTAAGCACAAGTTTGATTTTTTTTAAACCAATTCGATTTAATAATTTCATTGATTAAAATTCACAATTCCCTTCTAATTCAATAAAAAATTGATACCTTGCGCGCAGGTGTTGGAAAATTGGCAACATTTGTGCGTATCGATGTCCGTATTGAGAATATGAAACTATTCTTTGGCACGAATGGGATAAATAATTTAATTAAATGTATATATTGTTAACACTGTTACGAGAGAATCTGTAACACAGGGGTGCTCAAACGGTCGATCGCGAGTGCTTTTTGAGTAGATCTCGAGAAGAAAAATTTTTTTAATAAGTAGGTAGGTAACTAAACTACAAAAATGTATTACGTTTTTGACAATCATTCCTCTGAAGGGGAAGACCCGTGGCGAAGATATATATGACGTTTTCTTCAATTTTGTAAAAAAACTACGAGCTACCAATATATAAATTAGTGTGCATTACAACCGATGGAGCACCAGCAATGACTGGAAACAAAAACGGTTTTGTGGCATTGTGTCGAGCTAATGAAGAATTCCCTTCATTTTTTTCATTCCATTGCATTATACATCAACAAGTTTTGTGTTCAAAAGTTTTAANAAAAATATTGAGGTAGATCGCCAGCAGTTCAAGTTTGAGCACCCCTGCTGTAACAGATTGAGACACTCAAATAGCTGTACATTAAAAAAATGAAAAACCGGTGTAAGACCGGTTAAGTCCTTTGCTGCTTGTCGACCCCTAAACTTTAGACATTATAAAATCACACAATAAAATAAATTTGTATATAAATTTAACTTTAAATTGAGTATCGTCGTTGTATTACGGTGAAAATATTGCTTGGTAAGGCGTTGCTAATGACCAATAGGTGATAATTGTCCTTTGTAGATTAATTCTATTAAGCCACAGGTTTCTCAATCTGTTATCGCTATGGCATGATCTAGTTCACAATGACGACTAGAGATCAAGATGATCGAGAACGACAAAAATTACAAGTGCATCACCCCGCAGAACTTAAGGGGAAATATCATCATTTCACACTATATAACTTTATCAGAAATTGACTTGAAAGCAACAATTGAACAAAGTTCACCTGTAAAAAATATATAGGCAAAACAATACAAAAAGTCATACAATGGTGTCCAAAGTTTCTATGGCAAAACATGAAGTATAAATAAATAGCTTATTGGCTGTATACAACAACGATTAGACATCTGGTCACATATCGCTAGTGACGTTCGATACCAGAAAATATTCGATACTGGTATCGAAAGAAATATTCGGTACTACTCAAGTATCGACAAAAATTATTCGAGGTTCTATCTATTGGGTTGTCCGGAAAATAATGCAGGATTTTAAGTTTTCATTAAAAAAAATCTATATAAAATATTCTGTTTACGTTTACAGGATTACTCATTTGTATGAATGTCAACACTTATTAATCCTCTTCCAAATGATATTGTTTGTTTACCTCTGTAGCATTCCGCTACTTGGAAATAATTCAGTCATCCTTATAATGTCAAAGCGAGAATTTCGTACGATTTTCTTTTACGAGTTTAAACTCGGCCGAAGCGGAGCCCAAACGGCTAGAAACATTAACCAAGTCTGGGGCGAGGGTT